GGGTTTGAATGATATAATAAAATTCTTCTTTAAAAAATATATATCTTAAGGATTACAATGGGACTTTGTAAAAATAGCGGTAAGCTATCTAAGGAGATATTGCAATAGTTTTACATATATTTAAAGTATGAACTTTAAAAATGATTTGTTAATAGCTATCATATGATTTGAAAAAATAGTATGTTCAGTTTCAAAAACTGAATATTTGCGACCATGTAAAAAGTAAAATTATCAACATTATCCACAGTTTCGCACTAGGCACTGTGCATTAGGTCAGTCATTAAAAGAGATTCAACCAGTGTTAAGTTCAAAATGTTACCTAAGCGCTTGAAAATATAACTTTGAGTTGTCTCCAAGTGAGTCAGTGAGACGCTTTCTAATAGCTGTTATCTCAATAGAATTCGAGACACCGGACATTTTTTTCTATGAAATTTTTTATCATTTATATAAATATAATAAAATAAATTCTTATTAGAAGTATATGTAAAGTTTGGCAATGTACAGCGCAAAATAAACGACAGGAAGACTAGAAATAATCACAGCATCTAATCCATTCCATATTTAATAATTATCCAATTGTAAAATTTTAATTTGTAAATTTTTTATACATAAGACATTAAATGATTTTTTTAAACATATTTTCTTAAACGTAAATCTATATATTTGGGATATTGATCCGCATTTGGAATGATCCTTAGCATTGCATATTATGAAGAGGGTAACTGGGCAGGTTTGCAGGTAGCCCTGCAGTCTCCAACATGACTAGAGTTGTCTTCCTCTCAATATCTTTCAACTTCTTACTCAGTTCACTTGTTCTTCTATTCTTCATCTTTAACTTCTCTTCTAGATCCTCATATTCCTTCTTCATTTCATCAGCTCCTCTAGAAATAGTAAAATTATATTCACACATAAAGAATGCAATGAAAAGTATACATTTTATGGATAGAATAAATCAAAGAATCAATCAATCAACCAATTAATCAAACACAGATTCTATAGGGTTTCTACTTTACAAATTTAGTTTTAAATATGAATTAAAGCTAGCAAAATAAAATAATTAAATACATTTTTAAGATAGTAACTTTTGAAAAGTCAGGCATCCTTTTCGATCAATTTTAATGGAGTTCTGTAGGCGTTCAAAACGTTTTGAACGAAGCAAAACGGTTCTTTTTTTATCAGAGACAAAACTTGACATGTATAAACCCTGGTTGCGTACTTGCTATTAAAAATTATGAAACAACTGAATTAATTAGGTTAAACTAAACTTACGGTTTTTTAGGTTTACAGGTTCTTTTTGATGGAGTTTTACCCATCATTCCGGAAGTAATGGTACTTTCTGCTGTTCCCAAATCCTTGCCCTTTCTTTTCTGTCCAAATTCATGTTGTACTACTGAAGGAGTGGGTCCAAGTACAGGCTGTGCTGCTGAAGGAGTGGGTCCAAGTACAGGCTGTACTGCCGATGGACGGTGCCTAAGTACAGACTTTACTGCCGATGGACTGGATCCTAGTACAGGTTGTACTGCTATAGCACGGTGCCCAAGTACAAGTTGATCTGCTGAAGGACTTGGTCCAAGTACAGGCTGTACTGCTGAAGGACGGTGCCTAAGTACAGACTTTACTGCCGATGGACTGGATCCTAGTACAGGTTGTACTGCTATAGCACGGTGCCCAAGTACAGGTTGTTTTGCTGAAGGACTGGGCCCAAGTACTGGATGTCCTGATATCGGGTTCCATGTTTGATTAATATTGTTAATCCCGGAAATAATTACCGCCTCGGAACTTCTATCCTGGAAAAACATTTATACATTATTTCATAGAACATTTTACACTAAATATAGCTATATCTATATGTAATATAAATACTTTGCTTGTATGTCTGTTTCTTTGTATCCAATAAACGTCAAAACGGCTTAACTGATCGGACACAAAGGGGGGGGGGGCATAACATAAGTCTTCCTGGAAAATTTAAACAGTGGTTAAACATAACATAGCATTGTTGAAGGACGCTGATTTTTTGCATGCGAACTCACTAATATGTATCGTAACTGCAAACTGCAATTTCAAATAGATCGGAGCAAATGTGCACGCGCATTTTCACATGCTTTACACCGTTAAATGAACTTGAAATTGCATCAGGACGCGATTAAACAAGAATTTCCTGAAAAGTTGCGCCCTAGAGCCTTAAGTCCCTGCGCGCGCGCAATCAAGATAAAATATAAATATGTATATTTTAATTCAAGTTGGGCCTCATTCAAAACAAAAGTAGCATGCGATATATCAAACTACAGGAAAATTGGGACACGGAATTCATTTCCGAGGTCAAAATTGACTTTGGGGCATTCTACTATGGGTAATCTTGCTATAAGTTTTACATATATCACTTTATAGGTAATTGGGTACGAGGATTCCATTTGTTTGGTTAAAAAATCTTTGGACCACTATAATCAGCGCGCTAGTAGCCTTCCGTTACGTTATGGGTCATTTAACAACAGATTTTGCATGTTGTATGTCGATTTATAGGTAAATGGGCACGAGGATTCCAATTTTTGTATATAAACTAATGCAAGACCACTCTGATATATACCATTTACAAGGTATACTCGTCCTAATATACCACATACAAGGTAAACTCGACCTAATATACCACATACAAGGTATCCTAGTCCTGATGTACCACATACAAGGTATACTCGTCCTAATATACCACATACAAGGTATACTCGTCCTGATATACCATATACAAGGTATACTCGTCCTAGTATACCATATACAAAATATACTCGTCCTAATATACCACATACAAGGAATCCTAGTCCTGATATACCCTATACAAGATGCACTCGTCCTAGTATACCAAATACAAAGTTTACACGTCCTGATATACCATATACAAGGTATACTCGTCCTAATATACCACATACAAGGTATATTCGTCCTAATATACCACATACAAGGTATATTCGTACTAATATACCATATGCAAGGTATACTCGTCCTAATATACAGAGCGTTCCATATTTTATCAGCTTATCTACAAGCGTTAACGCCAAAAACGTTCACAATACTCGAAAAACCTAGTATTTTCTGCAAGAAAACTTTTATAAAAACCTTTCACGGTTTTTAAAAATGATTTATTGTTTTCACATTTTATGATTAGTCCATAAAGTCACAATTTTGAGCTATACAAGATCTAATAAGATGAGGGACAACCTGTACCATATACAAGGTATACTTGTTCTAAAATACCATATACAAGGTATACTCGTCCTAATATACCATATGCAAGGTATACTCGACCTAATATACCACATACAAGGTATACTCGTCCTAATATACCACATACAAGGTATACTCGTCCTAATGTACCACATACAAGGTATACTCGTCCTAATATACCACATAAAATGTAAACTCGTCTGAAAAACCCCATACAAGGTATACAAGACCTTATATTTTTGCTCCGATCTATTTGAAATTGCATTAGCAGTTATAATACATATTTGTGAGTTCGCATACAAAAAATCAGCGTCCTACGGCAATGCTTAGTTATGATTAACCACTGTTTAAATTTTCCGGAGAGTAATACGACTTATGCCCCCACCCCCCTTTTGTCTGGGACATCACATGACCCCACGGAAGGTTTATGGACGATCAAATTTTCAAAAATTTGCCTCCTGACAAAATTCGATTATTGAAAATCCAGTTTTTTTTTTATAAAATCCGCAATTTACGTTTGTTTTTGTTTTACATTATGTTTACAAAGAGAAAATGATCACAATTGAAATAGAAGATAAGCGCCACAATAGCCTAGAAGTATACATTTTACTTTTGAAGTATTCCGAGAAACTCGAAATGTTCGTTTGGTAAAATTTGTCTGATCCGAATGATTTAAATAAGAAACAGACAGTCCACATATCTCAGATAAAAATATTAAAAACGATTTGTTTTGATACTTACTGTGAGTGGAGTCAGTGAGGAAATATCTTTAATATCTTCATACAAGGATTGAGCTGGTTTGCAGTTGGTAGGTTGAGCTTGAACTGCATGCTGAGCAGGTATGTTCTGTTGATCAGCTTGGTTAATGTAGGTTGGTCCTGTATTCATGTTGAAATTGAAATTGAAATTATCAGGCATTCCATAATTATGGCATGCTGATTGAGTATGAATGTTGTTGTTCACAACAGGCATGTCGGAATTCAAAGAAGGCAAGTTGTTTGTAGGATATGACGGCATACTGTTAGCATGTTGATACATCATGCTGTGCTCAGAAGTACTATTAGCATCTTGACTCATCATGCTGTGCTCAGAACTGCTATGAACATCTTGACTCATCATGCTGTGCTTAGAACTGCTAGAAGCATCTTGACTCATCATGCTGTGCTCAGAACTGCTAGAAGCATCTTGACTCATCATGCTGTGCTCAGAACTGCTAGAAGCATGAACATCTTGACTCATCATGCTGTGCTCAGAACTGCTATAAGCATCTTGACTCATCATGCTGTGCTCAGAACTGCTATAACCATCTTGACTCATCATGCTGTGCTCAGAACTGCTATAAGCATCTTGACTCATCATGCTGTGCTCAGAACTGCTATAAGCATCTTGACTCATCATGATGTGCTCATAATTACTATAAGCATTTTGATTGATCATGTTTTGCTCAGACATGTTTAGTCTTATGGTATCAAAGGATGGAAGGTTACTATTTTCTCTGACACCAAATTCTTTCTAAAAACAGATTTAAAATTTAAAAAAAAAACTTGAATAAAAAACTCTTTATGATAACTTACGTCTTTCTGATTAATTTCCATTGTTAAAGTCTTAATCTGAAAAGTTGATCGTTAGAAAAAATGTCAATAAGTATCAATGTATTTGAGTTCAGTCCTAACTCCTAGGATCAGATTTTTGGACCTCCCCCCCCCCTCCCTGTCAATTTTGTTCATACTGTTTTTTTCAAATTTGGTATTTATTTTGTATGGTTTCAGGGGTAGGCTGGGCTAAGATTGAGCGCTAGGACAGGCTAGGGGACCGAGCGCTGTGGCTAGAACAGCTCGGGAGCCAGGCGCTGTGGTTCCAAATATTCCCTAAATTGCTTTGTGCAATTATATGAGGTTCAAAAATTCTGTACTAGAAAATGAGCTGTTTTTGTTACAAAACATGTAAATAAACCATGCCAATTATTGATTTAACACATCGTGTCAGATAAATATAGTTTAATAATCTACATAAACATGAAATTTCTCAAAAGGAATACACGCTGAGCACAAATTATCAGCTTCACAAAGGAGTGAGGACTATGTATATTAAAACGACGATTTTTTCCCCTCGCCGCGCTAAACGTGCTGGAAGGACATTGTCTTCGACCTTCATGCGATTGGTCCAAAGATCATTGCAACAGCATTTATGTAACCTAAATTTCATCTGCCATTGCTATTGGTTGCAAAAATTATTGCAACAGCGGTATTCCTCTGGACTATGCATTTGGTTCCTTTAAACTAGATGTTTTCACAATTGCCGCAAGGTATTACAAATAATACATAAAAGAAGACGACATGTCATGTTCTTGCCATATTCAAAAAAGAAGGTTTCTTCGGTCAATGTATACTGGAAATCACACACCGAAAGCACAGTTGAGGGTGCCAATCCAACCTCCTCTAATCATCCCATCCAACCATATATATTTATCCCATCCAACCATCTATATTCATCCATGCATCCAGAGAATCTCAACCAAGAACAAATCAGTAGTAGGTGGAAGGTTAAATGAATAGAGAAAGAATTAAGGTGCAATAGTATTTAGGAAGAATGCTTGAATGGTTAAAGGATAAAGCTGAAAGGAATTAGAAGAATTTAGATTTCAAGTAAAAAAGATGGAAGGATGGAAGAAATATGGATGGAAAATAAGAAAATATGATATATCCAGTGAAGTACACTGCAAACTAACCAGGAGGAGAAGGTCAAATTCAATTGACGTTACTGGTACAACTTTGTGACCTTGTTGCTCCTTCAAAACATGTTTGTTATTCTCAATAGGTCTTCAATAAGAGGAGAAAGGGCGTACGAGGGGTGGGGGCTCTGGGTGCACGTGCCTCCCCCCCTACGGGTGCCCCACCTGAAGGGGGGCACGCATAGGCCGGCTTTATTTATAAAATGATTTTATCAGCAAGTAAAACCCTGAGCATTTTTATGGCGCTCCACGCAAACATTCCTAACTTCTAAGTTCTGTGAAAAAAATATATTTGGTAATAAAAAAAAAGAAAATTGGACGTCTTAAGTTTTTCCTCATTTGGCAATTAAAACCCTATACATATCTAATTTCTGGGGGGGGGGGGGGTTTTATTTTTGAAGAAAGGAAAGATTTTTCAAAAATTAAATGAACTTCTTTTTTACACAAACTCAAATTTTCTAATCTCTATTTCTTTCAAACCTGATGGTTATTTGGAAAAACTTAGGCTTTTTTGTCTAACAGAATTCATATTTTAGAGTATCAAAAGTCTAAGCCATAGAGTTGCACGGATATAGGGATTATAATTTAAGAGTTTGTGGCAAAAACTCATTTTCTTTGCACCTCTAATAAACAGATAATCAACAAATATAATGTTCTAAACCTTAAGCGAAACCTAAGTATGAAAGATGATATAAGGTTCTTTATTATAGATAAAAAACTAATCAATACTTTGTAAAAAAAAGTTTTTTTAGGGGGGCACAAAACCTTCTAGATATTAGAGAAAGCATATTAGTTTTTAATATTACTTGACGTGAGCATGAGATTATCCAATACTTGTTGTTATAAACGAATATTTGTACAGCTCCATATGTTCATAGCTTTCTTCGATTAAAGAGAAAAAGATGAACACACAGGTGTATTCAACATTTCAACATGTTGTTAAAATTAAAGTTAAAAATAAACAGTTTTCATTTGGAAGAAGATATTCCACATTATTCTAGTGTATAAACCAGAAAGCATTGGAATGATTGTCGTCTGCTCTCTTTCTTTTCAGACAATTTTTAGTTAAAATATCACATCAGGTCGACTCTCAGTCTACATTCTACGAAGGAATTGAGTCTGTTTCACAAACTCTGATTTTTAATCCTCATATCTTTGATGTCCAATTGTCCTTAGATATTTAAAACTTTGAAATAAGACATTTGATAGATCGAACCATGTAAGTTTTAAATATCAAAAGCTATACACTATAAAGTTGCACAGACTAGATATTATCAATTTGGACAAATAAGATAAAACTTTTTTAATTGGTCTAGTTAAAAATTATCAAAATTCAAAGTATAAATTGATAGCATACAGATTACATGTGTCTAGTTCCTGGTTTTAACAATTTTTAAAGATTGAGTGAATTTTTTTTTTTTTAGATATTCTGCTCCTGTACTGTTTAAAAAAATGTAAACGATTGATATTCAAAAAAAAATCAATTCATAATCATTTCTAATCTTCTTCTATTTGGAGGATCATATTTAAAATGGCGACTTTTTATCAGCTGTTCAGAATTCTAGAGTGCAATACTCTTTTCCTTGTTCTATTTTTAATTGGATTAGTTTGGATTGGAGAACTGCAAAGACAGAGTTTAGCTGAGGTTACATTAAATTAATTAAATATTTTTTATATCTTTAAAGATTACTTTAGAATCATGAAAATGTATTATTCAAAATCATATCAAAAAGTATGAATATTAAATACTACATACAGGGTGTCCCACGAAACATGACAGTATGCAAGACGGCTTGAATGTCGTCTTGATTTTTGATATAATTTGCTGCGCTTATTTGTCAACCTAATTTTAGAAGTAAATTTCTAGAGATAATTATCACAAAATTCCCCTAGTCCTGCCATTTCCAAAAAGAGGTCGGCCTTTTTTGTGCTTACAATATTGCCCGAGATATGAAGAATTTCGTTCAGATTTCGACAATTTTGCTTTTATTTAACAAAATTGAAATCTGAACCAAACTCTTTATATCTCCGGTAATATTGAAAGCACAAAAAACGCAGACCACTTTTTGGAAATGCCAGGGCTAGGAGAATTATGTGATAATTGTTTCAAGAATCATACATGTTAAAGTAGATAGAAGACTAAATGTCAGAAATAAATTCAAATATCAAAGACGACTTTCAAGTCGTCTTGCTATTGTCATGTTTCGTAGGACACCCTGTATATACCAAATAATCATTTTTTTCTTTATTTTCTTATTTTTTTCTTGCGCTTAATTCATTTATGCTATTCGTTTTCACAGAATCAATTTCAATAGGTCTAATATAATTTTAGGAAGAGTCAAAATACATTTTTCGACCTGTTTTTAAGTTTATCAATTTAAGGTGACCCTTTTCCTTTTTCCATCAGATCCGTTAAGAATTGGTACCTACATTTCACCCTATAGCCTGCATGTTACCCAATAACGGCATTTTACTCAATAACCTGCATTTTACCCCATAATCTGCATTTTACCCCATAACCTGCATTTTACCCAATAATCTGCATTTTACCCAATAACCTGCATTTTACCTAATAAACTGCATTTTACCCCATAACCTGCATTTTACCTAATAAACTGCATTTTACCCAATAACCTGCATTTTACCAAATAATCTGCATTTTACCCAATTACCTGCATTTTAACTCGGATTTTCACATGCTTTTAACATTTTTTTCATTAATTGTGTTTATTTGAATTTATGAATATCACAGATCGGACAAAAGAGGCCGGGAGCTAATGTATAACCTTTGTTCATTATAACCTTTTAAAGTAAATAATTTATATTCAAATTTTTAGAAAATAGTTGAATACAGTGAGAAACAAAGTAGAGTAAGAGGACTTAGCTCATTTGTACATTCATGTACAGTAGATATTCAGGCAGATCTTGTACAACGAAATATGTACATCTTTAAAGGAAATGTGTGCGTAATTCTAGTGACCCTATAATATATATTTACAACGGTACACTTCGTTATCTGCTCAATATCAAAGAAGATATTGTTTTTTTTTTCTGTGTTTGAAAGTATTCAATTCTGATTATTCCTGTCTGTTTTCTGTGTTTGAAGTATTCAATTCTGATTATTCCTGTCTGTTTTCTATGCTTTAAAGTATTCAATTCTGATTATTCCTGCCTGTTTTCTGTGTTTGAAAGTATTCAATTCTGATTATTCCTGTCTGTTTTCCTGCAGTAGAAATGTGGAAATCACTTTTACAGAGAAACCACAATTGAAAAATCAGCTTTCAAACTTTTAAACAGTGATATTTCATTTATACTTGATCAGACAAAGCTTTAAGGATATTACTGTGAACCGGGTATCATTGCCATCTTTGCATAGAGAGGGTCACATAGAAATTTTGCTTACAGTCCCTTTAAAACTAAGATACTTGCACATTCATGTACAGTAGCCAGATCTGGTATAGTTAAATATGTACAATATACATCTATCATAAATGAACACTTTTCTTGTGTGTACTAATCCAGGTATAACCTTCCGTATCCTTAGGCATCTGTCTTACAAGATACAACTCAATAGCAAATTCCAGGTCGCTCAATAGTCTCAGGTGTCTGTCTTACAAGATACAACTCAATAGCAAATTCCAGGTCGCTCAATATCTCAGGTATCAGTCTTACAAGATACAACTTTTCTGATTAACTGGAATGCCGGAAAGTTTTGCAGTAAAAGCCCTGCTCCAATAAATAGTTTTTCATCCAAACCAATCTAGGTATAACCTTCTGTAATCTCAGGTATCTGTCTTACCAGATACAACTCAATCTCGAACTCAAGGTTCCTCAATATTGATCCTGATATGACTCTATTTGTATTCTCAGGTATCTGTCTTACAAGATACAACTCAATCTAGAACTTAAGGATCCTCAATACTGTAACGTACAGATACAACTTAATCTCGACCTGGAGATTCCTCAGCTCAATACTGTATCGTACAGATACAAATTAATCTCGAACTGGAGATTCCTCAATACTAATCTTGAACTGGAGATTCCTCAATACTGTATTGTACAGATACAAATTAATCTCGAGCTGGAGATTTCTCAATACTAATCTCGAACTGGAGATTCCTAAATACTAATCTCGAACTGGAGATTCCTCAATACTGTATCGCACAGATGCAAATTAATCTCGAACTGGAGATTCCTCAATACTGTACTTCCTAGCCTACATCTATCTTTTAAGATGAGACTCAGGTCCCCTCTTGTTTTAGCTAAACGAAGAACAAATTCCGCTCACACCGTAATCAAAAGTATTATTTCTACTAACGTTTATTTTGAGTTTTATGGTACAGGTTACATTATTGATAAGCTTAGTAAGGTTTAATCGCAATACAAGTCTGACGTAGTTAAATTTATAAACGTAGTTAGGTTACAGTGAACAACGTGATATATCCAGGTATGTTCAGACTTATGAATATGGAATTTGCTACGATATTTATTACATGTACACCAGATATCGAGAAATATCTTGTACAGTATTTTATGTTAATTTACAGTATATACACTGCGAAGTATTCAAGAATTCATGTACAATATAAATACAGCCATATCTTGACTTTTACAAAAAATAATGTGTAAATATTTAAAAAATAAAATTCGTGTACATTAGAAATGCAGGTTGATCTTGAACATATCTTACGTAAATAGCTGATTGTTGTTCCTGATTTGATTAATTGAATTGAGTCTTTGCCACAAACTCAAATATTCTAATTCCTATAGGAAGATATATTTATCTTTACAGCCTATTGCAGCAAACCTTTGATTTTTCAAGTTTAGATTATTTGATCTAAAAGTATTAATAGTTTAACAAATCTAAGGTCTATGACATTGGGTTGCAAAGATATAAGTGTTTTTCTAGATAAATTCGTAGCTAAACGATAATATTATAAAAATAAGAAAATGAAAGTAAATTTTTTCATAAAACATATTCTTTGTTGTTTCATGAAAATTAAAATGTATGAAGTAAATATGCAAATCTAAACAAAATAATGTATACATTGTATGTACAATATGAATTTGTACAATGCATATATATGTACAATGTAAGTTTAGTAGAAAAGTACATAAAATATATTACAAGATCTGTGAATCGAGAAGATGATAAAATCGGTAAGTATTAATACATTACTGATTACTGATTACAGCAAAACAGAATATATTTCATGAAATTAAAAAAATATAAAAGGAAGAATTTGATTACTTGCCACAAAATATAATTTTTAAATTCCTATGTATTTGCAATCTGATGCTATAAACCTTTGTTTCAAACTCTGATTATTTGATCTAAATAGGAGAATTCTTAGTTTGGAAAATTTACGGTCTACAACAGAATCAGATTATGAAGATAAAAAATATTAAAAAGAGAGAAAGGAGCAAGTAATCAGTTTCTTTGAATTAAAATATTTGTGTAAAAAAATAATGTCTAGGAAATTCTATATTTGTCTAGTTAGTGTATATTACCCCTATTATTGTCTAGATAGTGTCTATTAACCCTATTATTGTCTAGATATTGTCTATTAACCCAATTATTGTCTAGATAGTTTCTATGAATCCTATATTGTCTAGATATTGTCTATTAACCCTATTATTGTCTAGATAGTTTCTATGAATCCTACATTGACTAGATATTGTCTATTAACCCTATTATTGTCTAGATAGTTTCTATGAATCCTACATTGACTAGATATTGTCTTTTTACCCTAATATTGTCCAGATAGTGTCTATTAACCCTATTATTTTCTAGATAGTTTCTGTGAATCAGGCGCGTACACAGGATTTTAGCGAGGGGGGCAAGATTTTTTTTTTGCCCCCCCCCCTGGAATTGTTTTGTTCAAAAAGTCAATTAACAACATAAAAGTATACCAAAAAGACTACATTTTTGAGTGTTACTAACCTTATAGAGTCTAAAATTTATTCTAAAATTTATTCCTTTGCTCGAAAAACTAACTTTAATTTTATAAATTTATAAATTATCACTTAACTCCATCACAGCTAACTAAATCAATAATCACAGCATCATTAAAAAAATCATATCTTTACTAATAAACGAAATTTCTTCTGAAATTTGTAGATAGAATTTTACTCCATCTACATATTCAAACAAATCCTTAGTCTTTGTCATTGTCAGGTGTTACTTTTAAAATTTGTTTCCTTTTAATTTTGTATTAATTGCCCCCCCTGCTGCTGTGAATCCTATATTGTCTAGATATTGTCTATGTACCCTAATATTGTCTAGATAGTGTCTATTAACACTATTATTGTCTAGATATTGTCTATTAACCCTATTATTGGCTAGATATTGTCTATTAACGATACTATTGTCTAGATAATGTCTATTAGCCCTATTATTGTCTAGATATTGTCTATTTACCCTATTATTGTCTAGCTATTGTCTATTAACCCTATTATTGTCTAGATATTGTCTGTGAACACAAGTAAGCTGGAGGACTTGAGGAATGATGAGGTGGGGATCGTGGACAACTACAACAACTGCGTGGATGACTTTCAAATCAAATACAACAAGTCAATTTACAGTTCTTCGCTGTGAGATCTAAGACACATGAAAATTAATGAACAAATAAAATGTTGATCGTCTAAAGTCAATTACAGTAAGCAAATTAATTGAGTCTTTCCCACAAAATTTTTCTAATTCTTATTTTTTTGCAACCTGATTGTGTAAACTTTTGATATTTCAAACTTGGATTTTTTGATCTGACAGAATTTTTTAGTTTGAGACATCTATGGTTTATAGCATTGGGTTGCGAAAATTTATAAAATTAGAGTTTGTGGCAAGAACTCAGCAAACTTGCCTCCTAAATAACACAATCAGTAAGGATAAGTAAGAAGTTGCTGAACTATTTATGCATTGCTAGAACACTTAGCGCCCGTTCAAGTTGAAGAGAAGGGTTCAACTTAGACTATGTAGTTCAATCACTTTTGTTATTCATTCACTTCGTATTCTATACATGCGAGTCACGAAAAACTTGATAATTGAATGATGAATTCAAACTAAAGAACTTTGACAATCAATTTCCATTATTTCCAGTGACAGTTAATTATATTATTATAAATTTCTTCTTCTTATACAGGGTGTTCCACGAGACATGACAGTCTAGGACGACTTTAATATAGTCATAAATCTTTGAAATCATTTGCAGCATTCGAATTCGTCAACCTTGTTATTGTGTTTTTTAAAAGTGTCAGAGACATTATTATTAAGAAATAAGAATGTTTTTCTAGATTTTGACAATTTTGGTGTTGTTTAATAAAAAATGGCAGACCACAATTTAGAAATGACAGGGAGATTTTGTGATTAAAGTTTCTAGAATCATACATAAAAACTGTGGATAAATGAGCGCCGCATGTTTTCTTCAAAAATCAAGTTTTCTCTTCACTGTCAGATTTCTTTGGACCCCTGTATAACAATTATATTTAAATAAGAACTAGACTTATCATGAAAAGTTTTCTCTTCACTTTCAGGTTTCTTGGGACACCCTGTATAACAATTATATTCAAATAAGAACTAGACTTATCATGACAAGTTTTCTCTTCACTGTCAGGTTTCTTGGGACACCCTGTATAACAATTAAATTCAAATAAGAACTAGACTTATCATGACAAATTTTCTCTTCACTGTCAGGTTTCTTGGGACACCCTGTATAACAATTATATTCAAATGAGAACTAGACTTATTATGACAAGTTTTCCTTTCGACACATTTTGGGATTCAAGAATTTTTTTTGAAAAGGGTTCTATGGTCTTCACGTACTGTGTATAGTTTTTTTATTCAATAATCAACATAGACAATAAAACTCAAATAAGAGATTTCAATTTGTTTATTGAAAAACAATTTTAATATAATTAAATAAATAAATAAATATGTGAGTATATAATGCCCTGCTTTGAGCTAGGTTAAAAGGCGAATAACAAAATGACAAAAATCTGGAATGGATTTTTACTCTCAAAAAGAAGTTTTCAGCACTAAATTCAATTAAAACTTTTGGAAAGCTCGTAAAACAGAGTCCAAGTTTTAGTTGAGAAAGTTCTGAATTAAGGTCTGACAAATAATTGCAGGAATTTTTTTTGCTTAAATCTAAATTTTTCTCATCCCAATTTCTTTGTGACCTGATGGTGTAAACCTGTGCTATTTTAATCTTAGATGTATTGATCTAAAAGAATTCATATTTTGAAATATCAGAGGCATACTACATTGGGATTTGAAAATCTAAGGTTGTGCAAAAAAAACTTAGTTCCTTTGAAACTTTTAAGGGTTGATTTTAAAGGGGGGGGGAGGGGTTGTCAAGTGGGAGGTTAGGGGGAGATACTAAAACAAAACTAAGTATTGACTAGTATAAGTTAAATGAGAGTTTAAACATCTAATGCCAGGGAAGGTTTTGAATCAAACTATAGAATCCGGTAAGTAGGTATACATCTATCCGGAATAAGAGGATACGGGTTCAGCAGCCGGTATTCCATAGTCCTCTTGAGCCGGGGTGACTTTCTCCTCATCCGGTAGAAGACACTTCTTCCTGTGTAGACGTTCCTGGGTCGGTACATGCACGCTCTTAGGTTTACAGTTCTTCACAGGCACCTCCCTGCAATTTTTTTATCGATCAATAAATAAAATAAAAATCAATTGATTGAAAAACTATAAAATCCTTGAAGTTTGAATACGAAACTTTTGTGTGTTTTTTTCTCAAGTGTTTAATACTAAAAATAAAGCTAAATGCACCACAACATAATTAGGAACTGAGTTTTTACTACATACTCAAATTTTCTAATCCCTAATATCTTTGCCAAGGGAAGGTGTGAACTTTCATTTCAAAATTAGACAAATTTAATCTAATAGAGTTCATAATTTGACATATCTAAAGTCTACGCCACTGGGTTGCAAAGATAAAGTTTTTAGAAAACCAGAGTTTGTGGCAAAGACTCAATTCCTTTATATGTATAACTGACACAGATATTTGTTTGCAATCATTTCAATCAAATTGATGAAAACCTAGACATCGTGTTATTATCTCAGAATTATTTCATGAATCATGATTTGAATAAAACTTGTCAATAAAAACATTGTTAAAATCTCACACAATGTAAATCATCTTTGTCAGCCCTGTCAACTTTTTCTCATAATTACAGTTAGTCTCAAATAAACATAATTGCTTAAAAAATATTAGCATTTTTAAAGCAAAAAAAGAAGTTCAAAGATTGCCGCTGCCTCAATTATAATGCATATGTTGCAGAATTTTAAACTTTGGACTAAAATAAGGATATTCACACTCGAAAATTGACAAATACTCCTTAAAAATGAAAATATAAATATGTCCAGTGTCCATGATGTTTAAAAAATGAAAATATAAATATGTCCCGTGTCCATGAGGTTAAAAAATGAAAATATAAATATGTCCAGTGTTCATGATGTTTGAAAAATCAAAATATAAATATGTCCAGTGTTCATGAGGTTTAAAAAATCAAAATATAAATATGTCCCGTGTCCATGATGTTTGAAAAATGAAAATGTAAATATGTCCAGTGTCCATGAGGTTTAAAAAATCAAAAAATAAATATGTCCCGTGATGTTCATGAGGTTTAAAAAATAAAAATATAAATATGTCCCGTTTCCATGAGGCTTAAAAAATGAAAATATAAATATGTCCCGTGTCCATGAGGCTTTAAAAAAAGATGTGTTGATAAGTTCAAGCCATGGCGACACTTCAAATTCGGCCAGGCCTTAAAAGTTGATGAATTATTTTCATATCTGTGTGAATCTTTTGCACGTAACAAACAGCCAATATTACATAAATTAAACTTTTTATTATGATTTCCTGTCATAGAAGAATAAACAGTTAAACATCTTCGTACGCAAACCCGGGAATTTAATGCGTAAAATACAAGACCTCGTGGGAATATGAATACTCAGTTCGCACGTATAACATGATGTGACTTGTACTTAATATTACAGTTTGAGATCGCAATTCCAAATACTAATCTTAAACCTTTTTACATGGTGTACAAACCAAATCAATTTTATGAAATTGGGCCTGAACAAAGAGATTATGTAACTTTTAACCTTTTAAAAGTTTTAATCTGCTTACGCTTCCTTATTTTTGTTTTGATCAAATGAAGATTTTGAAAATGTATCTTGAGTTTCAGTTTTATTCATTTTATTAAACCTAGGGCCGAATTCAATAAAATTGAGCTACTTCGCTTAACTACCTACTGCCGGTTCAAATTTGAAGGTTTAGGAGGGATTTAAATCGGTGATTCAAATTTGAACCGGTTGTAGGCCGTTGAAATTCATTCCTGGACAAAATTTAATAAATTATCAAAGAATGCAGATGTACACTTTACAGTTTGGGAATCCCTATCTATGGCCTAGTCATGATGCATAATCAACATAGAATGTTCCACGCATGAATTCCTTATAGATAATTTATTGTTTTTAATAATACTTTCAAAATGACTCCAATAATTCCATATTACTGTTGTTAAACCAAAAAAAAGTCTATTTTTCTCCCGAGTGTACTTTGTATACAGTCACACAGTGTACAGTACACATGGGGGGGGGGTCACTTAAAAAGTTGAAAATAAGCCAATGCTAAGATTTCATTAATGTCGTCTTCCTTTTCCATAGGTTTATGTATCCCACTGTAGTGTATATGCAGTAAAGTACATACCTGCATGCTTGCCATTGAATAGTTTTACAATCTGGTCTTGTCTGAGTCTCACAAGCAGTGGAATGTTTAACCTGACAAAACAAAATCATGAAAAATTATTATTTTTTTATAATTTTTTCAAGATTTAGCAACAAATATATATTTAACTGCAATGCAGTACATCTTGCCTGTGTGTCAAATATGACGAAAATTGCGTTAACAAATTTGAATACTCTAATATTTAATATGTGTTCTAACAAAAAAGGAAAAAATAAGAAATTCAAAATGAAATATGACAAAAATTAATAAATTGTTTCAGAGAATGTCATGTGTGATTCCTTAAAATATAATTGCATTAAAAATGCATAATACATTCTAATGCAAACTTATTTTTTTGTATTTTGATAGAGAACATTTACAAATTGACATAATCATTACAGATTGTATGTAAAGTATGATTGTTTAGTTTTTACAAACTAATAGATCAAAAATATGACAGGCATCAATCAAATATCATTTTATCTACCCTGGTTTAACTATGACGCATAATCTATTGTTATCAATAATACTATCTCATATCTTGTAAAAGTATATTATTAAAGAATACTAGAGTTCTATACAGGAGTATTGTTGTCAATAATATTATCTCATATCTTGTAATAGTATATTATTAAAGAATACTTGAGTTCTGTACAGGAGTATTGTTGTCAATAATACTATCTCATATCTTGTAAAAGTATATTATTTAAGAATACTAGAGATCTATACAGGAGTATTGAACCATGGAATAGTTCAATTACTTGTTAATGTTCAATAGTTAACTTTTGAACTCTTCTTTCATTTTATTTTTATTTTTACTTTTATTTTGTTTTTTAGAAAGATGAAAAAACGAGATTTGTTGCTTTCCAGAGCTGGGAACTTTTGCATTGGATACTCGTAATCCCGATAGTTTGATCTCGATATCCATTGGGGGCACTTTTAATTTTAGATTTAATGCATTATCTCTTCATTTCAGTTATTCCTTCCCTGATCAAAGCTCCCTTCAACCCCTGACTTAGTATACAATTATCCTGCAGTCTGCACTGCAGGATATCGAATAAAACTTAAATTGATCTGCAGATAAAAACAAGGTCGAGATTAAGCATTGATCCCCAGATCCGCAGTACAAAAGTTCCAAGCTCAGGAAGAACAAACCGTTAAAGTTTTATATGTTTTTTTAGATCAAGCTTTAATGGAGAAGGTAATAGGAGATTAAGGTTCATTCCACGCACCTCTGCCCCTTAAGTAAAAATAAATTCAACCTATTTGAAGCATGAAGTCGGACCGCGTCAACATTGTTGCACCGGCTAGTCCTGTCCATAGAGCCAGGTACAGTACAAACTGGGACCGGAGAGGTTAACCCGGCTCGGAAATTCAAATTACTACGGCTGCCCGTGATTCAAATTTAGTCTACAATCCCTTTAATCTTTACCTGGCAGTCGAAAGTGTTGGTCATTCTGACATCAGTTGAAGGAGATGGTTCATGATACCACAACTCCTGTCCATCCTAGAGAAAATATAGATTAAAATATGAGATATATAGATAAATAGATAGATTAATAGAATATATATTGATATAGAAGATAGATAGATAAATAGATAGATTTATAGAATATATGTTGATAAAGGAATATGTAAGAGAAAAGATATAGCACATAGATAAATATTTCGTATTTGAAATAAATCGAAATCTGCTAAATAAAAATTTAAATTTTGAACAGATAAAAATATACAAAAAATACGAAATCATGTTCTTAACAGAGCGTGCTTAAGAAAAAAAACATATTGGCGTTTTTAAAGATACCAGATAACAAATTTCATCGTCTTGAAGTTATTAAAAGTCATTTACATAAAACTATAAAGTAATGGTGCTTCACCTTTTAAAGAATTAAAGAGGTATTTAATGTTTAAGACTGAACTAAGGTTAAAAGGTTCGCCATTCGACATTTTAGACTTAAATGGAATTGAGCTCTTGTAGAAAACTCAAATTTTCTAATTCCTATATCTTAGCAACTTGATGGTGCAAACTTTTGATATTTCTAACTTTATTCAACAGAGTTCATAGTTTGAAATGTCAAAGGTCTACAACATCAAGTTGCAAAGATATAGAGATTTAAAAACAAGAGTTTGTTGCAAGAACTTAGTTCCTTTGTTTATTTATAACTTACATTGCATGTAATCTCAGGAACAATGAAGCTGACCGTTTTAGGAACCAGCTTACACTCCTGCCAGGTCACAGGTTCACACGCCTCATTACCGGCCCAAACCTGGTTTATTATTGGATTAGATATAATATTGGTTTAAATATACTATCGGATTAAATTCCAGTTAAATTAAATTCAACACTTTTCAATAACCTGAATCTTTTTCAACATGGAGATTAATGAAAGATGCATTAATAATGAATATTTTGAGAATTGACCAATAGAAATCGGCTAAGCTCTCAAGGACAACAATTCCATCAGTTTAAAAGTTCCCAGCTCAAACTATCGTCGGTATAGAAATCATTTTTTTAAAAGTTTTAAAATCAAATTGTTTGAGCCTGACAAAATCTGAAAAATCAAAATTTTATTCAGAGGTATTAAACGACACCATATATATGACAATGATTTATCTATTGTTGTATAGATAATTTTCAGGAAGTGGGATATTAATCAACCCTAACAGATGAACTAGTGAAGTAAATTAATCTTTGTAAATATTTAAACGTGTGAATATCTACAGAAATGTTCTGAATAATTATCAAGCATAATTCAAGAACTAGAAATCCAGAGCTGGAAACTTTTGTGTAAGATATTCTTAATCCCGATCGTGTTATCTCGATATCCTATGTGCGCATTTTTAATATGAGGATCTATAAATATATATTCATTTTAGTTATTCCTTTCCTCATTAAAGCTCCATTTAATCCCCTGATTGGGTACGATTACCATGCGGGATATTGTATAAAGATTAAATCAATCTGCAGATTAACACAAGATCAAAATCAAGCATCAATCTGGATATCAACAATCCAAGTTTTCAGCTCGGAACAAATGTGCACGAAAAGAACGATGTTTATAAAAATAATCATAATTGAATCTTATTTATCCAAAAATAATATATTTAACACTTAAAACAACCCCTGGGTTAAAAACTATTAATATGAACTGAAGCTTGAATTTTACGATTGAAAAAATAAGTTATTATAGAAAAATATAGTTTAAAGTTTTTGTATTTTATCATGTTAAAATATTTGATTATAGTCTTCTTCGTAAAATAGCATCTAGCATAGAGTACATTCTAACTTTATCAGAATAAATTCAATAAAAATACATTGCCTTTATGGTTGCCCACAACTCTAAAACTCAAGACAGCTTTAACGACATGAAGATTTAATTTGGGTTTCGACATTAAGACAAGTTTAGAGTTGCAGGAAACCTTGAATATAAGAATAAAAACTAAAGAAATTCTCTGATATCTAAATATAATCCTCTGTCTGCAGGTAACCTTGTATTTTAACGTATCTAAACAAAACTATGGAAATACTAGGCTTACAGGGCGCTTTTTCCTATTTCTATTTCAATTGTGAACATTTTCTCTTTGTAAACAGTATAAAAAAATAGGAAAATATCGCGGATTTTTTGAAAAAAATTTCTTCGTGGATTTATTTAAAATTTAATGACAATCGAATTTTGTTAGAGACTAATTTTTGAAATTTTAATCATCCATAAACCCTCACTGGGCCCGATCGGTTCAGCCGTTTTGACGTTTATTTGATACAAACAAACAGACAGACACACACCCAAGCAATGTATATATATAGATATATAATTTTTGCTTCTAAAGGTAAAATACCTGTTTTCCGTTCTTATCAGTTTCCCAGAGAGTAACACAGTTCTGTTTTGTAACATTCTTACATTGTGGGAGCATCTTGGTGTGAGGGATTGTTCGCTTCCCTGTCTCACAAACCTTCTCAACAAACTTCTTCGCGGTCAGCTTAGTCTCGTCAAAGTTCTGGGGCTCCAGGCCCATGGAGCACTCGGTGTAGGGTTGGACCTAATACAAATATATATTTATTTTTTCTTGCGATTTGGCATTTGATAACAATCAAAGGTGGCATTTGATAACAATCAAAGGGGGCGTAAGCGTAATTAAAAGAGGCTTTCTACGCCAAAAAAAGTGTTCCCGATATAAAACGGAAATTAACCTAAAAACTTTAATCTGGTCAAAACTGTTGAAGATAACATCGTATTTCTGACTTATTTCTGTTGTTCATTTGCAAGCAGGAAATGCGCAAGACATTTTCAGTAAGAAGCCACAGATGAAATACAAAATAAAAAAAATGAACATCTAATTCATACTTGATCAGAAAAATCTTTTAAGGGTAAATGGGGCAAATGCCTGGAGACCGGGGTGTCATTTGAAATTACGTTTACAGTCCCTTTAACACACAAAGGTGAAAGGTTAAATTATTACTAGGTACTTGTTTTTGTAATTCTCAAAAATCGGCCCCCCCCCCTTCCGATCCTGGACATTGAAAATTGAATCTGTTCTTACGGTTGAGAAACACAAATGAACAATTGGACTACCCTTCATCTATAGAAGCTGAATTAGGAACACAGTTGATTTTAGATTAATTATTGGTTTAAGAAGTGGAACGTAATTAATTAAGCCACTATTGGTCAATTATAGGGAATTCAATTTGATGATCTGAAGTAAATTATGATCATTGATAAACCACATTTATTATCGGAATCTTCCTCGTTAATATCAACCTGAGTTGGGAATTTATGAACAAGAGAAAAGTAGTTGAACTAGGCACACAAGTTCAACTATTTCTGAAATGATGAAGAGATAGAATAAAAATATAACAAGTATTGAACACTTGTCTCTAATTATAATTTTCTAATCCCTATCTTTGTAAACCTTTAATATTTCCATTTTAACTGTTTGATTCAGCAGATTTATACTTTGAAACGTGAAACATTACAAATTATTTATAAGTAAATACTATTATGATTTTATAATCCTTAAACAAATGCACCTTTTTCGTGTGAGAGATTTTAATTTTTTTCTGATTCTAAAACTTTAATGATTAGTTAAAGGAATTGAGTTTTTGTAACAAACTCTGATTTTCTAATTTCAATATCGTTGCAACCCAATGTCGTAGACCTTTAATATTTCAAACTATGAATGCTATTAGATCAAATAATGTAAGTTTGAAATATCAAAGGTTTACACCATCAGGTTACAGAGATATAGGTTTTACAAAAACTGAATTTGTGGCAAAGACTCAATTCCTTTGATACCAAGGTGTAGTAATTAGTGTTAACTACATATCAATTTTTAGTAATCAACAAGCAACACTTTATTACATAAACTACAGGGTGTACCAAAATTAAAAACAAATTTCGAAAAATGTGCAAATCACAATATTTCTATCTTAAGGGTGTATATAAAAAAATGATTTACTTTTATTTTTTGAAAACTATTTTTTGTTCCCCCTGCGGGCATCTAATCTGTATACACATATGTCTGGTCATGGTTTACTAATTTCTGACTAAGATTAGAGATATGAGAACATGTAATTGCATGTCTCATGGATTTTTGTCAATTGAGAATAAAATAAACATTGAATAGAGTTAAAGCATAATGATTGCAAGGATAGCATTACTGAAGAATAAAGATGAAAAATGATTAAATCATGTTTTTATGAATAAAATGAATGTGCATAAAATATGATTTTCAAAAATACGCGTGCTGCATAAAATCTTTTATAATTCTGAAAACATATTTCTTGTTATTGAGTAGAAAATATAAGTCCTATATTATCTTTACATTGGTTTGTTCCAATATTTATCAATTTATCAAGATTCCTTAAAAAAAAGATTTTTTTCTGGTTATTTTTCTCTACAAAAAGAATAAAGAACATTTTAACTCTGACCAAAAGCACGCCATCTTTGCACTTTCATATTCTTGTCAGATTCCAGACAAAAATCAATATTTTTCGGTTCAGTTGTTACGGTTATAAGGAACAAACATACATACATTGTATATTTTACATCCATGGTTTTTTATTTAATATTATTTATATAGAAGATATATGTTCAATGGTCATGCATTGAAGTCGTATGACGTATTCAATATAATTTTAGAATTTAAAATTTTCCAAATTACTTTTAAATACGGTATCATTTAAATATAAAACAGTTCCGAATGATAAAGTTTTGCTGTTTAAAACCCTTAAATAATGTGTTTTTTTTTCGTAGAAATTATGAATTTTGCAAGATAAGTCAGTCAATTTGTGAAATATTAAAAATTTACACCATCAGGTTGATAAATATATTAAAGTTATAGAGACTAGTTTGTGGCAAGTGTTCACTATTCAGTTCTTTTAAATTCCTATTCATTCAAATACTAATACTTGCATATTTCAGTGATTTAAATTTAAGTCTAGTTTACGTAAATTTTCTCAAAGCCTTTTGATAATTTGTTATGATTCTCATTGTTAGAAATATAACCCCGGGGGGGGGGGGCGCAGGGGGGAAGGGTTCACAAAAAACTTGACTACCGGAACGAAGACTATAAATTAAAATTGTTTATTCCGGAACTATGGCTTGGTATATAATAGGATACTTTTATCACATCCTTGAGATATTTTTCCTATTCAACCAACTGGACATGTTTCTCTTGATAATTAAACGCCAACGTTGTACTCGAACTAATGTCAATTGAAAAACTGGCATATGGCGAGTAATCAAGATAGATAATGACAAGCTCTCCATCAATAATTTCAGGTGTGAAACTGAAATTATATTTCATGATAAAATACAATTTCACAGTTAAGATCTTTGATAATTCAATGCAAAGGTTTATACAGCAATTAAAACTATTAAATTTGTAAATCTCAAATCCAAAATTTTAATCAAACCAGATCTATCCTATATGCTGCTATATGATTACTTGAAGCATGATTTTTAGAAATTTTACCATGTGCGTCCCCATTTCGATTGTTTACAAATAACCAGAAAAATTCTATTGACGACTTTGGAAGAAAATTTTAAAAATTTATTTCTGAGCTTGTTTACATTCCTCCCAAGAAAGTGCAGTACACTCTTTTGAAAGCATTTGTGTGTGTCACCCTTAACTTCAACCGAGGTATGTATCTACAACATCTTGACTTCAACCAAGGTATGCATCTACAACACCTTGACTTCAACCGAGGTATGTATCTACAACACCTTGACTTCAACCAAGGTAAATATCTACAACATCTTGACTTTAACCAAGGTATGTATCTACAACACCTTGACTTCAACCAAGGTATGTATCTACAACATCTTGATTTCAACCAAGGTATGTATCTACAACACCTTGACTTTAACCAAGGTATGTATCTACAACACCTTGACTTCAACCAAGGCATGTATCTACAACACCTTGACTTCAACCAAGGTATGTATCTACAACACCTTGACTTCAACCAAGGTATGTATCTACAACATGACTTCAACCAAGGTATGTATCTACAACACCTTGACTTCAACCAAGGTATGTATCTACAACACCTTGACTTCAACCAAGGTATGTATCTACAACATAACTTCAACCAAGGTATGTATCTACAACATGACTTCAACCAAGGTATGTATCTTCAACATGACTTTAACCAAGGTATGTATCTACAACATGGCTTCAACTAAGGTATGTATCTACAACATGACTTTAACCAAGGTATGTATCTACAACATGACTTCAACCAAGGTATGTATCTACAACATGACTTCAACCAAGGCATGTATCTACAACACCTTGACTTCAACCAAGGTATGTATCTGCAACATCTTGACTTCAACTCCTTCAACTAACCTTGCATTTTGTCTCTGTAACATCAGCGCAGACGTTCTCTGATTTATCCTCACATTTCTTGACGAACACTGTATTACACTCCTCTCCATCACTCTCTACCCAGACCACGGGCTGGTAGGTTGACACATCAACACAGAACTCCTAGAACATCATCAACCAATCAATTAATTATTTAATCAATTAATCAATTAATTAATTAATTAATTAACCAATTAATCAATTAATTAATTAATTAATTAATCAACTAATCAATCAATTAATAAATTAATTAACCAATCAATCAATTAATTAATCAATCAATCAATTAATTAATCAATTAATCAATCAATTAGTTAATCAATCAATCAATTAGTTAATCAATTAATCAATTAATTAATTAATTAACAATTATGTTTTAAATTTAGTAACAAAAACTTTAAAACCCATTATCAAAAAAAGTCATCTCTGAACCAAAGTTTTTTTAGAAGTGTCAACTTAAGCAACTAAGAATGTTTAGACCAAGCAAAGAACATTCCCGTGGTTCTACAGAGTTCTTCATTCGAAATGTGAGACAGATCGGTTAAGGGGAATCCTGAGTTATGATTGGACATCCAAACAAACAAACAGAGATTATACTACTTTATATATATAAATAGATAAAGAAAAACAAGTAAAAGTATTCAATGGAATTATTAGATTATAGCTTAAATCAAACTGTCGTCTTCCTATTCTACAGTTTTGTATTCCCCACTGTAGATTGATTTAGCAATTTAAGAAATTAATTTAAGTAAACTTTATTGAAATAAGATTTACTTTAATTTAACTAATTAACAGTTTAAAAATCATATTTTATTGTACGTGCAGTGAAGCGTAAACTAATGATTAATGATGCTGGAACTTATATTCCTCTTTTTTATAAAAACATAACAAATAATTCATTCATCAGTAAATAAATCAACTATTGATCCAAGAACCAAATATTATTTGGTTTCAGCTTACAACACAACAAAATAAGAATAAATCATAAACAAGTATTTTATCAACCTATAAGACACTCAGGGTCTGTTCTAGAGAGCGAATTTTTGACCACTAATTTTCAGCAAAATTATTATTATTATTATTTTATTATTTTAGGGATAAATTTCTGCGCCGAACGTTGCGGCTAGAACAGGCCAGGGGGCCGAGCGCTGCGGCTAGGACAGGATAGGGGGCCGGGCGCTGCCGCCAGATGATCAAGTATATCCATGTGTTACCTATGAGATCCATGTACAAAATTGATAGGAGATAAATTGAGCTAAATTATACAAAATAAAATTTACGTTAATTTAAATGAATCATCTTTATTGTTTAGTGAGGCGTGAACTTATAATATATTAAAATAACAACTGTGTAACGGCTTTAAACCACAAAAAATATACAAATATGTGAACAAACAAATTCTGGGAATCGTTTACATAAATTAACTGAATACTTGCCACAAACCAATTATATTCCCTATATTTAAGCAACCTGATGTCTTAGGCCTTCTAATATTTTATTTTAATTGTGAGACCAAAAAGTCAAAGTTTGAAATATCAAAGAGTTTCACCATCAGGTTGCAAAGATAACGGAATTAGAAAATTAGATCTGTTGCAAGTAATCAGGTCCTTTCACATTTAACATTTGAAAGACCAAAAATGAGATCAAAATTATTTTTCCAAATCAAAATTTTTCATTTTCTTTTCTTTCTGTTGAGATAAAATATGTTTTTTTCTCGATTATTATAGTTATCTCTCTTTGTATTTCCATTGACCGATTTGCCTCAAATTAAAACTATATCAAGCATATGAACAAAATTAGTTAAACGAACTTCCGAGGCCTGTTTTTAGAAACCAATGGATCAAATTCTTGATGCATGCACTGTACAGTGTACAAAATTAATCGATTCACGGACCACGGTGCATACTTTATATGTTGCTTTGCTCTTTATGATTAAATCTGCAATTAAATGCATTTATTAATTCATTATCCATGAAAAGTAAAAACTTTGATTGTCAAATTGTGTGGTTTAAATGGAATATTCTTGCAAATTTATGAAATATGTTTTTTAATATTTTTATTTTATATGATCTAGTGTTACTTTTGAAAATATACATTCCTGAAATTTCGAGGATTATTGGTTATAAAGTCGAAATTTTCATTTATTCCAGGAATTTAATAATATAAATATCAATGAATAATCAACCAATATTTCACCCCTAAAATTTGCCATTTTTGCAGAAGTTTTTCCTCCCTTTTTTTCCTAGTTCTTACCTTATTATGAAGATCTACAGGTTCCTCAGCTGCTGGAGCAGCTTGCTGTGCAGGAGCATAGGTTGGAGCAGCAGATTGAGGAGCGGGAGCTTTAGCAAAGACAGGAGCAGCTTGAGGAGCTGGTGAACCATATCCTGACTGTTGTTGAGCAGATTGAGGACGGGGTTGATGAACATGTCCGCCGAATCCATGGGAGTCTCGTCTTAAGAGATTAAAATTTATTAATTAAAGTTTGAGTCAATAGTATTAAAGGTCAAAACTTTAGAATCTTAAATCGCTTGAATCGCCGACGGTTCCCTAAATCTTAATTCTTTGTTTGATCAATAATATAAAAAGTGCATGATTCAGACAATTTCATACATTGTTTAAGAAGCAGAAGTCATAGAGAAACCAGAATCAAAATTATTCTGTTTTAAAAGAAAATAATATATATATCTCATGCAAACTTGATCAGTAAATGGTTGAAAAGGTACCGTTGTGAATTGGACATCCTGTTATAGTCTGTAAACAAAGGGCACTGGAAAATAAGTCTCCAGTCCCATTAATAACGCGCTCAGTCCCCCCCTTGCAATTTAGGCAAAGTTGCCCCTTTCTTTCAATCATTTTTTGAAGAGCTTTTGGTAAATTTTTTGTATATTCAGAGAATTCAACTTTTCAAGTTAGAAGATAGCAATGTGGATTTTCAGTTCAGGTTATTTGTCTCTCAATATCAAATTCAAAAGGTTTAGCCTCTGCAGTACACTGTAATGTTTAAATTTCTGAACGATATATAGAGTAGAAATGATAATAATCCAGGTCAAATCTAGTAATATGTTCGCTCTAAATACTATACAGGTCGGACAAATTGTTACAGACATAATTGCAAAAATGTGGAAAGTTAAAATTTTGCACTTGCAAATATTTGAACTGAAAGATGATTCATGAAAGTTCAATATTTTATTACACTCATGAATTATTGAATGTCGTTTTACTTTAGATTTTATTTCATTTATTTCTTTATTTATCTTTCAAACTAAAATGATTAAATTGATATCATTTTGTTTATCAATAACTCCTCGCATTTTAATCAAATAGATAAGTTATTTATTTATAATTATATCTTAAAATCTCATTTTCATGTCCGATTTACAACAGTACTAATCTTTGTATGATTAAAAATAAACGTGAAATTCATGCTTTTAGTTTTAACTTTGAAAATTGATTACCTTCAACTATGGTTTTAAATATAAATTGCAACAGAAACAATGAAAGAAATTGTCAGAAAAAAACGACGTTATCTTTGACATTATTGGACTCAATTAAAAGTTTTTTCTTTTAATTATGGAGAGTCACTAAAAACTGAACCGTGATTGTTTACATCTATGATTCCTACCTGATGACGTCATGTTGTTCTTTAGCTGTTGATTGTTTACATTTATGATTCCTACCTGATGACGTCATGTTGTTCTTCAGCTGTTGATTGTTTACATTTATGATTCCTACCTGATGACGTCATGTTGTTCTTCAGCTGTTGATTGTTTACATCTATGATTCCTACCTGATGACGTCATGTTGTTCTTCAGCTGTTGATTGTTTACATCTATGATTCCTACCTAATGACGTCATGTTGTTCTTCAGCTGTTGATTGTTGTTGTTCTGCAATAAGATTAGAACTGGCAGATACTGGAGTTCGACCTGTCTGTAATCCCTCAACTCTTCTAAACAAGTTTAAGATTAATAAAAACATATTCATGAGTCATGATACCAGAGTTACCGATTGGGAAAAAGAAACCAATCTATTAAGCATGATTTTAAGACAAACACAAACATATAATCATATATATCATTTAATGAAATTATAACTTCTATATAAATAGTTTGCTATTTAGTAATTAAAAGAATGAGTAAAACGACGCAAAAAAAATAGAAAAAACATTAGTGTGTGAATCTTAAAGCAGGGAAGTACTTGGAATCATTGAGTCTGTGCAATGATATTTTTAAATTTCGGAATTGAATAAAAAATTATTTATTAAAACACTTTCAAAATATGTTTTCTGTTTCTAGAGTTCGATCGAAAGTCTAAGTACAGCAAATAAGAATTCGAAATTAAGTAACAGACTGGGAAGGCTCTGTCTGATCATGGTGAAACCGGATTGATACAGCTTGAAGTTAACTCTACGGTTTGTTTTTGTTTTTGCAATTCCTTGAGTCAAGCAATTATCTGCAGCTTTTATCGTCCGCAGGATTAAGTTCATTCCTGTTAATTCTTGTGTGGTCATACTCACCAGGGATAACTATAAATTCAAGGATAAAGTACTTAATTCTCAAATTTAAGAGTTGCCATCGTGGATATTGAGATCAAGTGTTGTCGATTAGCGCTGTCTCACACAAAAATTTAGACCTAAGGTTGTATTAGAGCCCAGAAAATGAGTAATAAAAGAACTCTCACTAGTTTAGTCTAATAGTAAACCATTCGACGTTATGCAACCTTTGCACTTTTTATCATTAAATAAGTATAATTGAAACTCAATTTAGATTAAGTTTAATTTTGGATAATTAAAAGCAAGGATTTATGACATCTTAAGAAAAAAAGCTCGATCGTAAAACTAAAAACTTACTTATGATGCCTCCAATCCGTTAAAGGATTTTGGGGCGTGGCTTTGCTCTCCACCCATCCAACCAACAATAATACACATACTCCCAACTTCATCGTTCAAGCAATACTGAGCTTCAGAGGAGTCTCCGGCTGGTTTTGTACATTGAGGGCCTTCACGCGGTGACGTCATTCCCGCATTTTCCGGAGATTTGAACGGGTAGCGTGTGGTGAAGGAGTGGAGAGCGGAAACAAGATACATGGATGCTCCACAGGGACGGTTTTAATATTTGACAGCAGTATGGGAGGGGCAGGGGGGGGGCGTTGCGTCTTTTTTAACACCTCTAAAATGTATTTGTTTAAATTTCTGTTGTTAACTTATGTATGAAAAATGAGAAGAGGGGTGAGACCGACAAATCATATAAATAAAAAATAATGTACCAATGAACCTTAAAATCATCCAAAATATTTTTACAAACATTTCGCATAGGTATGCAGTTTGCAATTCTAGCGCAAAACAATTCTAGTTATAAAAATATATCACGACTGTTAAATTTAATAAATTAGAGAGTATATTTCACGTTTACGTCGGATATATATATAACACACCAGATGTATAATTATAATATATATTTAGTAAAATTCAATTTAAAATAATAATTCTTTAACAATATCTGGCCAAATCCAGTTAAAGTCTTTACCCTTTATCATTCCTATATATCCTTATTCTTCTTTTATCATTCCCATATATCCTTATTCTTCCTTTATCATTCCCATATATCCTTATTCTTCCTTTATCATGTATGCTCTTTTTACAAATAAGTCCCCTGTCCTGTTTTTCATTTAATCTTTTATTTGTCCTTCCATCTTTTATTTGTCATTCCAATTTTTATTTGTCCTTCCATCTTTTATTTGTCCTTCCATCTTCCATTTTATAGATACTTATTTCCCTTTATAGGATTGTATTATGATTAGCATCTTATTAGCGCTTAAAACTTGGACAGAGCTAATTTATTACGCTTGATCTCGATATCCATAGCAGCAAATTTTAAATTTGATCCCAATTAATTTTAAGAAATCCTTGCTGAGATTTAACCAGGATCCAAGTGGAATCAACTTAATCCTTCGAACCACAATAGATACGGATAATAATACTGGGATAGAATCGAAAAAACTTCTTAGGTCAGAAACTTAAACTTTTATAAAACACTATGTAATACACGCTAAACTAAAGTAAATTGCACCTAATATTGAAATCTTATATGTTTTCAATCATAACTCCTGTGGTTGAAGAGTTATTGAGAACAACAAACTGTTAGAATATCTAATATTTGACCAACTATATATTTATGTTTAAAATCAAAACTAGTGAAGCTACGAGGTTACAAAGTCTCACCAATGAAGTCATATAAATCATAACTATTCCCTCTGTACAGTTTGCAGTAATAGCAGACATCTTTTATCGTAAGTTCTTCGATTTCTTTTGATGGTTATACATTTACCAAACCAAATATTACATAAAATGGCGACTGGGCTTACCCACGTGCTCTCATGATTTAACCAATCTAGAGTTCCGCTTAAATATCTCATTGTTCTAGTATTTAATCAACATGAATTAAATCGTAAACGAATAAAAAGTGTTGGGAACTGAATATTCCCTATACAATGTTTATTCTTGAAACTAAATGAAGTGAAGTTGATGAACAAGAAATATATTGGCAACATTATGTCTTTTTTTCCCATCCATGAACATTATTTACCACATCTTTATTCTAAATTATTATTTATTTTAAATATCAATATTGAAATCAAGAATTAGGCCCAGAATCATTACCCTCCCCCCGTCAGTGTGATCAGTATGTAGAAATGCAATTACTCAAAATAATGTTTAAATATAATGTAGAAATGATTTTATTTCAAAATAAAAGTAAAATATTATATGTAACTCTGTCTCAAAGAAATCATTAAAATAGGAGCACTTGCATTATTGTACTAGCTTGAAAACCCAGCTTTGCATGGAAACTAAAAGTTTGCTCAAGTCAACCCACGCAATTAATAGTCTTAAAGCCATTTTCGTGATTCTACCGAGTCCCCCATTCAAAATCGGTCTAGGGGTTCATGAGTTATGTTCGGACATAAAAACTATCTATAAATAATAAAGTAGTAATCTCTGTCTAAACTTTTCGACCATTTTGCCTCAAATTTTGATCGGGGACGTCGGTAGAACCCCGGAAATGTTCTTTGCTTGGTATAAAAATTCTTAGTTGAGAATATTGACCTTAAAAGCGAAAGTTAAGTTTTTAAGCAAAGATGGGTTCCCAGGATATTATTGATATCTATAAAGTTGTAATCTCTGTTCGTCTGTTTGTTTGTCCGATCAAAACTCAGGACCTTCGAACCGATGCTTTAAAATTTAATTGGTGAACTCCGGGAGAACCACGGGAAAGTTCTTAGCTTAGTTTTGATCGATTCTAAGCTTAGTGGGAAAAATAGCTAAAATCGTAATTTACGACCAAGTGCGGGTAAACGGCGGCGGTAATTCTCAAGCGCGCTAGTATATATATATATAAAGATACGGGTTATAGATTCTAAAATTTTATCTAGAACATTTGCAATAAAATCTGACGAAAGTAAAGACCAATTTTCAAAGAATATCAGATAAAATTATGACTGATTTTGTCTGACCTAAAAAAATTTATATCTTCTTCTTTTGTTCAAATATCTAATTTTAACAATAAATTTTCACGGCTTTTTTAGAAAGAAAAATTTCGGTTTTAATCGTAATTTTTTTTAAATTCAATTTACAAACTTGTCAGCTTATTGATGTATTAAATTTTCAAATGTTAGGTAAAAATCATTCGCATAATGGATGCATGATTAAAAATTAGTAAAAAAGCAAAAATACCAACAACAGGACATTCTGTGTTTTCATTTGTCTAGTTTAACAGTTTTATTGTATAAGGTCTAGTTAAAAATTTTAAAACAGTTCTCTGCTATATATTAAGATTACCAACTGTTATAATGCCTAGATGTATTAAGTAAATTGGACGTAATATTTTTAGCAAATGTATAATTATATCTTATAATTTAAAACAGTTGCTTATGCACACAAGTCAAAAAAGGAGGGAAGGGGTGCAGAGCAACCATGAGCTTCGCGAACTGATCTCCGGAGCCTTCTGATTCGCAGAATGACCTCCTAGCTAATCAAAATCTTTCAGTGTCTCAGGCTACGTCTCCCAGCCTCCGCATCCCTGTCTCCACGTCCAGCAGCCTCCGCATCCCTGTCTCCACGTCCAGAAGCCTCCGCATCCCTGTCTCCACGTCCAGAAGCCTCCGCATCCCTGTCTCCACGTCCAGCATTCTTATCTCCAATAATATATTATAATAAATATTTGTCTTTTAAACGTTTTTTCGAAAAAATCTTAACATGATCAAAAAGTTTTAAAAATACATAAACAATTTGTCTTAAAAAATCTGCTTTAATTGAGATTAAGACTTCTTTTTTGTTTTCTAAATTTCACAAATTCCTTAACTAATGCATTACTATTGCAACTTTATATAAAGATAGACAAATAGAAGATGACGCTTGAATGCACAAACTGTATTTTTCTTAACGGATATTTAGATTTATCTTAAAATATGACTAACATAGGTTTAATGAGAAAAAAATTCATTTTTAGAAACTAGTTTTTGGCTACAAACTCAAATTGTGCAATCTTTGTCCATTAGATATTTTCATTCATCTTCTTTTTCTACAGGGTTAATCACAAATAAAGTAAAAGACTGTAAATACTGTAAAGACTGTAAAGACGACCCAAATCACTTAAAACGAGTTGAATCTTGATTTTTTGTTGCTGCTACAGGGTGTCCCACGAAACATGAGAGTTGGTAAAAGCTTAAAATGTCTTCTTCCATAGTTTGTTAAGTTGTTTGAACCCCAAGAGAATATAAAAATTTTCATGCCAGCCATATCAAAGTAGAATTAATTGATTTCAAAGTAAAATATATTTGAGTAAAAGAATTTTTAAACTAAATAAACTGCAAAAAGTCTATAATATCTAACACAGTAAATGGAAGAAGACATTCAAAACTATTCACAAACTGTCATGTTTCGTGGGACACCCTGTATCTATTTTGTATTCTAATGGTTTACTTTCAGAAATGAACTAGTTTAAGTCTGCAAGGAACCCTGAATGTAAAAAAGTGAGAAAAAAATTCGCACAGTCGTCTCTAAAGTATCGTCCTTTGAGTTTAACCCTGTATTCGCACAGTCGTCTCTAAAGTATCGTCCTTTGAGTTTAACCCTGTATTCGCACAGTTGTCTCTAAAGTATCGTCCTTTGAGTTTAACCCTGTATTCGCACAGTCGTCTCTAAAGTATCGTCCTTTGAGTTTAACCCTGTATTTCTGCTAATTCTTGTTTTCTATATTGCCAATGTTTACCTATTTAATAAATGATTGAGTGTTTCTTCACAATAAACTAAATTTAATTTTGCCATGAATTTTCACATGAAATTATTCTCACGATTTCAAATGTTTTTTGTTTTGTTGTTTTTCTCCTCCACGTTTTTAAAGATTCGTTTTTATGGTGAAGAACTTTTAAGGACATGCTATCTGATTGGTATAATAGTGCATATTGTACATTTAAGTATGTTGTAATTTTTACAACCTTTTGATCAACATTAACGACCTATATGAATACCTCAACAGAGAGACATTAAATTACTTAACGTCCCTTGGGACAATTAATTCAAACTTTTGGTAAAAAATTTGAGCATTTTCATCTGAAAAGACGATAAAATTGTGTACAAAATCAAAATCTTACTTAACCACGGTGGGCTCCCTTGATTAATTTTGCCTGTAAAGCATCCAGAGCGCAGCCTTGGTGAATAAAACTCCCTTAACTTTCCTTTAAAGTAATTGTACTAATAAATACTGTACGTAGAATCCTGTTTATTTCAAACTGTAATTAAGTTTATGTACGATTGTAATACAGAGCACATAGGGAATAAATTATATCTTAATTGGTTCCCGTAGAATTACATGATAGCAATAACACATTAATTGAAATTGAACAATTCTTATAAATTAATTATATTTGCTGTCCCATAAAATAAATTAAAGGCTGCTCTGAAAGTAT